TCTATAATTTGCACACTCTTGTGCATCCCCTTTATTCTTAAAAATGGGGACCAAAATACTCTTCCTCCACTCCTCAGGCATCTTTTTAGTTTTTAAAATAATATTAAAGAGTTTAGTAAGCCAAGAAACTCCCAAATCTCCCAAATATTTCCACACTTCAATTGTGATATCATCAGGTCCTACAGACTTTCCACCCTTGGTTTTCTTTAAAGCCTCCTCAACTTCTTTTTTGCTAATGCGACGGTAAAAATGAAACGTTTTATTATTATTCACGATATTAAAATCACTAAGATCGATCGTATTTTCAGAAACTTCATTAAAAAGTTTATCAAAGTAACTCACCCACCTATGTTGAATATTTTTTTCTAAGAAAAGTACTTTTTGATTTTCATCTTTAATACACTTTACTTGAGTTAAATCTTTACTTTTATTTTCTCTTTGTTTGGTGTTAGACATTAAAATACATAGGATTTGACTGATATGTATATGTAAATGTCCCAAATAATAATGGTCACAATACATCGAATGCTAAAATATCATGGAGGAGACAGTAGGGTAAACACACTAGAAATAAGCGTCCAACATAAATATGTGTAATAAAACAATTGCCCAAAATCATTATTCTTCCAATAATAGGAACCCACAGAAGCACAAAATGAAGGTGCAGTTCTGAAGGCATTAGTTTATAAAAAATGCAATTTAGGAACCAAGAAAATTTAAATTTCTACTATGGAGTAAAATTTGTAGCTTTCTAAATAAATGAAAGAAAGGGACTATCTTGTACTAAATGTACAACATTATTATCAACCTTTATATAAAAACTTTCCCAGTATTCCATAGAAATTAGTTGCAATATTAATGATCAAAACAAAGGTGATATGCCATCACGACGCTACGTCTCTGCCCAAGAGTTTAGAATTACTAAGACAGGCAGATGCTTGGATGGTAAAGTTAAAATTTTAAGTTCGATTGGCAAACTAATTATAGCCCAATAAATAAGAAGTGCCAATACTGAATAAACTTAAATTTTCTTAAAAAATATAAAATAGTTGTGAACAGGATATATTTCTCATTTTTGACTGCGTATACTATAAATAGCTTCTCCTTTATCACTCATTTTCACTAGACTTTATCCTCAAAATGTTAGTTTAAATTTTTACGAGTTATCAATAATTTAGTGAATGCTGATACATCTAAAATTACAATAATATTATTACAAAAAAATTATCATGCATGCTTGTCAAATACCATTAATTAAAATAAAATCATTTGATAGTTTATATATTAAAAAATGACCATAAAATGGTTTTAAGACATTACACCATTCACTTCAATATGATCAATCTCTTAAATGAAAAAAGAAAAATCATGATTTAATTTACAAAAATAATCAATTCAACAAATATAAAAATCATCTAATGCATTTGATTTAAAAGAAATATAATTTTATCATAATTTTAGATAAATGAGCACTCCTCTTAACGTCAAAAGATCCAACTCCTACTCATTACTCATAAATCTTTGTCTCCTTTAATTTGATACTTATAGAAAATATTTATATAGTATATTTTTAATTCATACTATTATTAATCTTTAAATTTTTAATTTCTATTTTAATGATTTCCATAATATTATAACAAACAAATCCCAACATGCACAATCCTTTTAATTTGCTATTACATACTTTACTTTATAATACAATGTTAATATTTATAAAAATTCAATTAATAACATAGAGAATTAATTTTTAAATTTATTCTAGCATTTTATTATTATGTTCAGCTAAATAATGTCTTTAACTCTTAAATAGAATAACGTAAATCATTTAATATAAATATTAGCTTTCACGTTTCATCAATGAAATTCATAAATATTCAATTAAATATTACTTTTATTTTCTCAATTTAACATTTTAACTCTTATGTTTTAATAAACATAAATAAAAAAAAGGAATCGAATTTTAATTATCAAAAATCTAAATTACTAACTTAGAGACTTATTTTTTAAATTTATTCTAACACTGCTATTGTAGATCCCAAGCTCGAATATGAAAATTGGAGGATTG